ATATATATATATATATATATATATACACACACACGTAATTTTAATTATAAATATATTTTATGTATATGTTTATTAAATAAAATGTTATTTACTTTATTGTAAATTAATTAATTAACACCAATACATATCCATGAACTTATCTCTACTGTGTCTCAAATAATTAATTAAAACAGCATTACATACAGTAATTCTAAAATAATTTTAAAAAGGTTTAAAATAGTTCTTGAAGTTGCAGGGACTTGTTGTCATTGCTTAAATTCCATGCTAATTACCCAAATGAATATAATAATATTAAAAAAACATAATATTCCTGTTACACTAAAATACTACTAAAATCCACAAACCTGGTTCAGATCAGACTTTTGGTGTTTTGCATATTCTGGCAAATGCAAAAAACACTTGTTAAGCTTTAAAATGATAGATATTCCAAGGCAGGTGTCAATGTAACCTCTTGTTCTTTTGTGTGACTATTCAGTCTAAACAAAAACACAACACCTCTAAGCACATCAAAACTATTCAAATCTTCACAAACCCGTCTTGGCTGAACATGACCTGGGTCAGTGTGGTGGAGAAGCCTTTAAAAGTGTTAATGCAAGTAGGTGTTTGTGAATGGGCTGTTGAATTCAGACCCTCATAGCTCAGCTTCTCCCATTTAACAATTAAATGACACCTAACAAATGGCTCACTCAGAGATGGATACCAAACCAAAGGTGATCCCAGCACCCCATCATGGGTTCATTAAAAAATAAAATAAAAAGCCCATTAGATGGTGGAAGCCCTGTGGACCAAGCAAACTGCTGGATTGGCTCCAGGCCATTACTCAGCATCAGAGAATGTTCTAGTGCTATTACATAATGTCCTTGGCAAAAACCTCCACAACATTTGTACTAGCATAACAGTTACTCAAACTAATGTCCATAAACATGTCTGGGTGGTTTATAATTAGGTCATTTCAGACATCATATCCGATAATGTTCTTTTTAAGCTGCTACTTCTATAGCGCAAGATGAAAAATCTGTTGACGTATATGACATATTTTCATTTTAAGTCTAAACTAAACTAAACTAAAAAAAAAAAAAACATCAACAAAAAACATATTCGTTAATTGAAATAAAGCTGAATTAAAATGAAATAAATATTAGATGAAAAATTTAAACTAAACAAGAATTAGAAATGTTGCCTTGGCAAATAAATGATAAGTTTAGGTTGAAGCAATAAAATTACTGTGGAAATAACTAAAAACTGAAAATGAACTAAAACTCACATACAAATAAATTAAACCTAAATAGTCTTATTAAAAAAAAACACAATAATAATAAAAATGACAAAAACACAACAAAATTACAAAAATAAAATACAATTAAAACTGAAAATATTAAAACATATTATAATATATATTATTACAAAAATAACTTTCCCAGACACGTTTTTATGTTAAGTCATTGCTCAAGCATATACAAAAAAAGCGTGATTTTTAAGATTAAAGGAATTTTATTCAAAGCGAACATTTCAGATGATTCATTATTTGTGAAACATTCACAGATATCTATGTACTTGAGCCCTTCACTATTCATCATAAATCATGCTAAATCACAGCATAGGCTACTGGGGAATTGGCTGCAATTACATTTTAATTTCCATTCACTCCTTTCTGTCACCACAAAGTGATTAAAATTCAGCATATGATTCCCTCATGATAGGCCAACAGAATGTCCCTGAATCCGATGAAGACAAAAAAAACTCCCTTATTTCGAAAGAAAACTTCCATTAATTCATCACATATAACACAAACTACAAGATGACCACAGATGTCGAATGAAAACAGAGGCCTCAAAATACATTAAATGGTACCTTTATACCTCAAGTCTTGCAAGTCTGAACTTCACAAGACATTGGGGGAGGGCGGCAGACAGACAGACAGACACGCCCGCGCGACATCCGCTCTGCTCGTGCTGTCTGAAGGGTTTCAGTCTGACTCTGTGCGCGTGTCGGTGACGGTCACACAGACTACAGAGAGAGAGAGAGAGAGAGAGACAGAGACAGAGACAGCAGACCAGGAGCGATCGTCCTGAGGCAAGTCCCCTTAAAAAACGACAACACGCTTACTTATACACCGCGTTCGTTGATTTAACGGTTTAGCAGATTCTCTGGTTGTTCGTTTTTGAAGGTTTTTAATGGTTATGTGATGTTCTTCGAGTTCGGTACGGGATTTGTAGCGTTAGCTCGGTTAGCGCGTGCTAAAGGGTTTACATGTTCTAGCCGCACTGCTAAAGCTGTCTGTACGAACGAGCCAGCGTTCAGACGTAAAACCGGTTTAGGTGCTGTTATTCAGCCATGGTAATTTGGTTATATGTAGCGTGTGAATCAGTGGGACATGTGTTTTGGTGTGTCATATAAAAGGAACGTATATATTCACATTGCTTAACATTCACATTTAAGAGACGCATCGTCGTGCTCGGATGTTCTGGTCTTTGATTTAAATCCTCGGCCTGATTAACATTGTGTAATATTTTAGTATTTAAAAGAAAAAAAAAGCTATTTAACGTTTTTTTGGAGGGGGGACAGTTGTCAGTCTAAATGGCTTGGCAAATGATTCACTGCCGTATAAAGTCACAGAAATGGGTTTAAAAATATAAGCTTTCGCGGTCGTTTTAACTTATTTGTGATTTAATACATGTTGCCACTTTTTCTGTAGTTATTTTGAGGGTCTCCCGGTTGCGGGGATGGGGAATGTCACCCCGCGGGGGCTCAGCGCAGCTGTGCCCGGAGAATGAGAAGGGAGAGACGGATAGAGGGGGGGAGATTATCCGGATGAGGTGAAAATGTTTCTGTCGTCTAGTTTAGCACTGTGCCGAACACAAAAACTGTTCTGGATTCTTTTTATTGCCCTGACAGCATGTTCTTTTCATGCGTGTTTGTGTGGCTTCACACTCTGATTCGTTGTCTTTGTAAAATTGTAATTGGCGCTAAATGTTTTTAACAATTTAAACATTTTTTATTCTTTTTGTTTCCTTCACAGGAAGCACATTAGACCATTCATTCTGTCACCATCATGCATATAGCTGGACTTAAAAGAATTTGCAAACTTTAACAGTGAGGAAAGAAGGACCAACTTAAAGGTGTTGTGTTTGAAGAACAGCTGAATATTTTCCATCCAAGAAAGATCAAACATCTGTGTTCGGACATGACCAGCCCTCAGATGAGTCTGAAAACCCCTTTCAAAGACCTGACGTCATTTAAAGGCAACATGAAGCGGCTGTACAGGGAGCGACTGGAGGATGCACCCATTAAAAAGCGGGTAATGGCGGAGATGCACCTGAAACGGTGTAGCCTGGAAAGCGTCCCCAAACCCCCAAAGGTCAAGAAGGAGCGCGAGGAACACAGCAGCTCAGAAATGGACATTGAGGAAAGAGAATTCCACGTTGTCGGGGCTTCCAAGGCTTTAGATCTCAGCGCCGGCCTCAAACACACTCTGGCACAGTTCACACTGAGCAGCCAGAGCTCCCTGGGAGGTCCTGCTGCCTTCTCAGCAAAATCTGTGCAGGAGTGCGCCTCTCCTGCTGGCATGGCTCCCCTGCCGTCTCCCCCAGTCCTCGGAGGCGGCCCGCTCTTGGTTCCGTGCGACAGCTCCACAGAGCTCACCCATTCTCTGCTCGAAGGAGAGTCCATCTCCTGCTTTGTTGTAGGTGGCGAGAAGCGCCTTTGTCTGCCCCAGGTACTCAATTCGGTTCTGCGAGATTTCTCTCTGCAGCAGATCAACACTGTCTGTGACGAACTTTACGTTTACTGTTCCCGATGCGATGCTGAGCAGCTGCACATCCTCAAGGTGCTGGGCATCCTGCCTTTCAACGCACCTTCCTGTGGCCTGATCACACTAACTGATGCCCAACGCCTCTGCAATGCCCTGCTCCGCCCGGGTGCCGCTTTCTCAGCAGACCCCAACAGCAAACTGCCAGGCCAAGGCCTGCTGAAGGAGAGCGAGGCCAGTTTCCAGGTCGAGCACCAGTGTCTGGGCAAGTGCCAAGGCCTGTTCGTGCCCCAATTCTATGTCCAGCCAGACGCTCCTTGTATTCAGTGCATGGAATGCCAGCTGCTCTTTTCCCCACAGAACTTTGTAATGCACTCGCACAAGTCCCCCGACAAGAGGACCTGCCACTGGGGCTTCGATTCAGCCAAGTGGCCCTGCTACCTACAGCTGGGCCGCAAGCATGAGGGCACACCGGAGGAGCCGCAACTCAAACAGCTGCTGGACGAGATGAAGGAGAAGTTTCACTATCAGCTAAAGAGACCTCTGGACAAAGTAAGTGTCTTTTCCTTCCATGTTTGCTGGTTCGCTAAGGTCAAGTTTTGCTTCATGTTCACAAGTGGATTTGCACGTGTGTGACCAGATGGTAATGTGTGATAGTCTGCAGAGGAGACTGTTTGCTATTGTCTGGGCAAGGCTGCAGTTGTTTTGATAAACTAGCGTTGACCCAGTTTTATGAGGTGGCACGAGGCAGGTGGGGACGTAAGGAGGGAGGGAATTCCAGTTGGTCTGGCTGAAAGGGAAGTACATTATCTACCTCCCAGGTCAGAAGAGGGCCATCTTTGGGGGGTGAATGGGCATAGCACAACCTTAAATTTTATACTATATATGTAATGGAGTGGAGTTTTTTTTGCCTTGAATGTGATAATGCAAACTTGTATTTGTTATCACATTATTTTAATTTATTATCGTAATCATACACACACTGGTTTCTAGCCAAATAATTTTACCGTTCACTGCACTTTGTTATTCTAGTTATTTACCTATATCGGCTAATGAATCAGAAGCATTGCAAATTCACAGAAAACGGCTTAATTCGAAGTTGAAAAATAAGGTCGATAAAGTTTTATTTGTCATCCAGAAGTTGCTCTTTTTAATAGGGAGAAATTGTAATGAAGTCATTGATTTGGGAAAAGCCTGCATTGCATGATTGCATAAAGTCAGAACACTGGAGATTCTTCCATTTTCATGACGTGACCTTTGAAACAAAACTCAACAAACTGTACTGGTGCACTAGAATCTATTGGAAGGTCATCCTAGTGAGAAAAAAGGTCTGGATTGTTTCACTCCCATTGATCAGCCATGTCTCATGACCCCCTTGACCAAGCCAGAGCTTTTTTTTGTTGTCCGTGCTCATGTTAGACAAAGATTGACCCCCTGTTGTTGCTGTCAGAATTTTTTTTCAAATGCAAGTGGCAGCAGTTAAAGGGGGCATAGGATGCCCATTTTCCACAAGTTGATATGATTCTTTAGGGTCTTAATGAAAAGTCTGTAACATAGTTTGGTTAAAATTCTCAATGGTAGTGTAAAAAACACCTTTTTTACCCTGTCAAAAACAGCTCTTTTCAGATCAAGCCGTTTTTGTAGCATTTTCCTTTAAATGTTAAAGGGGTCATATGATGCAATTTCAAGTTTTCCTTTCTCTTTGGAGTGTTACAAGCTGATTGTGCATAGATAAGATCCCTGAAGTTGCAAAGACTAAAGTCTCAAAACCAAAGAGATATTCTTTATCAAAGTTAAGACTCTGCCACGCCCCCCTAAAACGGCTTGTTCTAACACGCCCCCACATATCTACCTCACTATGTGGAAATATTAGCATAATGCTGCCCAAATGTGCACGCAAAGAAAGAAGGCGTGGTTTCAGTAACAGTTAGTGTTGAAGCAGCCATGTCAGGGAGACGCTGTGTGTTTCTAGGTGAAAGCAAAAGCACTTTATTTGGCCTTCCGAAAGTAGATGCATTTAGGAATCTTTAAGATTACTTACAACAGAACAGCAATGCATTTTATGAACGACCGTTTC